CTTGGCCACTGAGTCCACGCTGCAGGATGTTTTCCCTTCTTCCTGCAGGACCTGCCTTGTGTTCACATGCAGTTTGTCTTCTATCGGTGCCCTTATCTACTTATGGTTATAATTAAACAGATGCTGCCATTAGAACTTTTAGTGGGAACTAAGTTAGCCTAATGGCATTATGGACACCTTGTCCTCTATTAATAAAGCTGTAGTGTGGTTCCAACAATCTTCCCACTTCTGTGTGACTCAGTTCCCAGAGCACCTGCAGGGTTAGCTTTCTGTGTCTCAGCACACTTGGATCAAACACCCGTTTTACATGATAATGAGTCTCTTTGTGGGCTGCCTTTGTTGTAAGTGCATCTGAAGCCATTCCAACATTGTGCCTTAAGGTTTCATAGTAAGTGTCAGTTGAGTCAGCATACACATTATACTCATGAATATGCTGTGTACAGCCTGTGCTCATCTGCTCCTGGTTTCCAGCATCCATGCAAACCTTCCTGCATTGTTTCTTTGGAAATACTTTTAAGCCTGTGTGGGTCTTTAAGAAAGCAGCTATCATATAGAGTGCAGGATTCCAAAATGGCAAGACTGTCTTTTTGTTCAAACTGGGCTTTGCTAGGCCTCTCTGAAACTTGCAAATTTGATTGTGTGTTCAGGGCAATTGAAACTGCTTTGTGTCTGTCATATAGTGGTAGATAAATTGATTTTTTTTTTTTATTTTGTGTGCGTGTGTGCATGAAGAACCTATTCTTGATAGCAGAGAGTAAGGAGTAAAGTGGTTTCAGACTTTGTCCTGGTTTTTGAATTGTAAAAACTTTAAAAACTTTTGTCTGGAGTGTTCTGCTACCAACAGGGCTGAGCACTGATGAACAGATGATTTTGGATGATCAATGACCTGCTGTAAGTGTACAGTGACAACAAAGGTTTTGTTTAAAACAGGACTGAAGTTTTGTGTCCTCAAACCGTGTTCTGGATAAGTCAAGACTTGATCAGGGCCAAGTACCGTTTTTCACTGGTTTTATGTTTGCCTGGATGCAAAGATGCATCTGATGGATCTCAGTGGAATACCCAAAATTTGGGTATTTGTTGCTTTTTCCTCCCAAGGACAGTGTGATTTAGAGGCTGGCTTAGGGCATTAGGGCAAGCACCCAACCTCAGTAGCTTACTGGAGTTCCTTGCAAGCTGTAGCATGCTTTCTCTCTAGTGAAATACTGCCAATAAATAAAACCTGTTGGAATTTTGCATAGTAGGTGCAAATGGTGTGTACCCCATCACCTGCTTCCCGAACTTTCTTGCTCCCTTTCTGTGCTTACTGTGTGGCAGGCAGCCTTCTCCTATCCCAAAGCCATGGGCAGGCTGTCTACATGCCCTTTTCCAGTACTGTGATTCCCCGCTGTGAGACCAGCCTTCCTTTCCCAAGGCAGTGGAGCCCTGCAGGCTGGCTGATCTCCTAAACCTCTGTTCCTGTAGCTCCACAGCAGGTGAGTGGTGTTCAGACCCCAGAGGTGCTTGGGGAGCCTGTTCAGAGTTGCCAGCATGCTTCCATCATGCATTCTGGTGGGGTTTCCCAAATCTAAATGCAGCTTTCCCTGTACTCCTACCTCTGGCACTACTTCATGCACCCCACTACCCCTTCTGCTGGTAGGAGTTCCCTCTTTGCAATTCCTGGATTTTGTTTGCAGGCATCTCTTTGAAGCTTTCCTGATCTCAATCCTCTGCTTTGGGATATTGCTGCTGACATCTATAAAACCTTTTTTGCCTGCAGTTTGTGTAAGAGGCTGCTCAAAATTGTTTCATATCTCTTGCTTCCATGCTACCTAGACTTCTCTTGAACTGCACTGGGGATGTGAACGTCTTTCCCGTGTACTTCTGACTCCTATCTCAGATGTCAGTCTTGTCCCACAGTGAGTTAACTAAGGCTGTGGACACTCCACGTTTACCCTTACAAGTCTGCATGCTGTCTTCTGCATCGGTGATGACTAGGGTGTCTCACTGTAAGCAGAGTCAGAACTTGGAGAGGTATCTGAAATCCCCTGGGGGAAGGAGAAGGCTCAGGTCTAACCCTAACACAGCCCAGAAAGGCTCAGCAGAGGAGCTCATCAAAGTCCACCCAGGAAGGCTGAACTGTAATTGCAAACGTTTTGCTGTTTCCTGCAGCCCAGGATAGGGTGGTAATTGGGCAGCAGTCTCTGTTGTCTTTGCTTTTGCTCTGGGAAATGACTCTACAGCTCCCTCCATCTTAAGGGAAGAAATTGTAGGGGGGGTTCAAGTAATCAGGCTAATTCTCCTCTAGATTTACGCAGAAAACAACTTGTATAGGTTTGCCTCATTTGTTTTGGCTCTTTAAGATGTGAGTAATGAACTTCAAAGAAGGCCTTACCTGTACCACTCTGTGGAATTATCCCACCCGTAAGTCCAAGCTGGGGACAGGAAAGAAGCAGGACAGAGGGTGCCAGCCCTGAATGGGGATGGGGATGAAAAACTTGCTGATGAGCAGAACCAGCAGTCTTGGAGTTGAAGAGGCCCTCACACATGCCAGAGTAAGGACAAGAGAGGAGCTACTTGCTGTGCTGAGCCTCCTCAGGGTGCACAGAATGCAGGTTCTCTGTGGTGCTTGCACAGATGCTGTGCTGCCCCATGCCATGAAGGAGTTCCCAGTTCCTTCCCTTGCCCAGGGAACTGGCCCTGCAGCTTCACTGCTTCAAGGCTGATCTTGTGTCACAGTGAAATGTCTTCAGTGAGCTGGCTGTGGGGCTGATACCTGGGCCTGTACAGCTTCTCTGAATTAACTGTGGTCTGAGGACTACAGCAAGTAGCTTAAGGGAAGTGGGACCCTTGCCCTGCTGTCCCGGTGCCCCTTGTCTGGGTAGAAGGGTCTGGAGAAGGAAGAGGGAACCAGGTGCACCTTCTGAGGATGGGGATTTCTGCACACTAGCAGGGAGCTGTGAATTAGCCAGCCTTTGGCCAGCTGGTCTCTCTGAAGCCTGGGTCTGGCCATCCACGATCCTAACCATATTATTTTTTCTCTGAATTGCAGAAAGGGATGCCAGAAGCCTGCACTGATCCCATAGTCCTTGAGGAATCAAAGCTGTGAAATGGAGGGGTGGCACAACTGGGAGATGCAGCCACCCTCATTCCCATCTGCTACCCACACTATCCTCCTGTTACATGCGCTCCATGGCAGGGTGCCTCAGGACAGGAGCCCAGAGAACCGCTTGTGGAGAGCGTGAAAGAGCAAAACAAGAAGGGAGTTGCTCTCTTCAGTTATACCTCTCCACATTGCTGTTTTGGAGATTTGCTGCTTCGGAGGAAAAGTTGGGAAAACCTACTGCTTCCCCCCATCTCACCATGTATGCTCAGAAAAGAAAAAGCACACATGCTGAGAAAAGCCATAGTTCCAGGCTAGCCCTGAGCACATAAGGGTGGCACCCTGCACGTGGCTGTGTCTCCTCTCACAGGCAAGTTGTGACATGAAATGCAGAAGCTGGACCACGCTTACTCAGTGAGCAGCCCTGGAAGAGCTTTCAGCTGGCTCTCAGGAAGAGGGATTGCTCTGCTTCAGTGCCCATGATGCTCTGTGGTGCGGAGGTGACGGTAGAGGCCTCAGCATATCACCAGCAAGTGCAAAGCAGTGCACCTGCTGCTGCCAGCTCTGGTTTTATTACATGGTTGTCCCAGATGACACACTCTTAGTCTGTGGTTAAACTGCTACTCAGAATTCACTGAGGCTGCCCTGATGTTCATATGTATTAGGAGCAACTGAGAGGGGCAAGGCCAAGTTCTGCAACTTATGTGGAAGCTACAGCCTAAGCCCAGCTCATCACTACATTAGCAACAGGAGTGAGTCAAACCACAAGCTCCCTGGGCTGAGGACTGTGTCTTCCTCCTTAATGAAAAGTGCCTTTTGCATGTTTCAAAAGTACATAAAAACTTTTGTGCGGGGTTATACTGAGATTACCAGCCACGGCTGTGTTGGTCTTCACAGCCACAGAGAGAGGTTTGAGCATGATGGGAACCCAGGTTTCCTCCAGTGAGGAAGCTTTGCACTTTATAATAGAGAACAGGAGAAGCCCTCTTACCAGCATCTGTGCCAGATACTGCCTCTCTGTATGCTGCTGTTTATCTTCTAAACACAAATGCAGATCCTTATATCCCTTCTTCCTTTCCAGCATCCCTCCATTGGTGGAGACATCAAGTGTCCTTATACTCTTTAAATCATGCAGTTATGCACATATAATCTTTGAGATGAACAAAAACCACAGCCAGATGGAATAGATAAAAATAGTCCTGACATATTGGTTTTTGACAATACATTTTTGGGGTGAAATTATACAGTCTTTTGACACATTAAAAAATACAAATCCTACCTTTGATAGTTTGGGATTGAAGATGGAGGTCTAAAATAGTTTTTCAATAGTTTTTATATAAAATAAAAACATTTGAAATGTACAATGAAACCTGACACATTCATATTAAACGGCTGAAACAGTCTACATCTGACTCTTTCAATAGCTTGAAATGTTTTGCAGAATGGAAAAATCATCTTTCTGCCCAGTGCTACTGTTGTGCTCTCTTCCTCCCTTCTGTTTTTCCTCTTTGTTCTGCACATGCACCACCTTCCCAGCTAGGAGATCCTGCTGGCTCCTTCCTACCTTCTGTGCACTGCCTATCTGCTTCGGGTGTTATTTCATCTAGGTTTAAGCAATCTGTTCCTGTTTTCTCCATCTACTGTAGTTATAGGTCACTACAAAGGTAGCTGAGTCCTTGTTCACAGACGCATGCAGTTTGCTGTCACCAGTATGCTGCGGAAGCAAGAGCAGCAATAGCTCTCTTCATGTGTGTGATGTGAGCAGTCAAACCTGGAACTTTGTGGGAAGGAGTCAGGGAAAGGTGGGTTTGCTGTAAAGAGAGATGATTTATCCTGCAACATACAGTAGAAACTGCTGTTTGCTTTGAGGTTTTACATCCTCTACCTGCTGCTGTGTAGCAGAAAGACAGACACAGGACCCTGCAATTTTCTGTCATTTATTAGAAATGGCCCCTGAGGAACACACACATGCAAGTTACACAGCAGTGCCAGGGGCAGCTCACACTCAAGTGTTCAGTAGATCCTGGGTAGCTCTACACCTCCTCCCCACAGGTACACTAGGAGAGAAGTCCTTAGTGCACTGTGCCCACCTGAGACGTTCCCTGCTGTCCTCCGGGGAGGCAGTCACCACCTGCCCACAAGTTTTGACACAAACTCCTCTGGGACTTGGTCTTTGACAGTCAGTTGAAATGTTGCCTGGACAAGAAAAAACACTTGGTAATGAATGACTGACAGAGCCCAACATTGATCCACCAGTGGGACTGGTGTCCCGGAGAAGTTCAGCTGAGCTTTAGTGGAAGTTTGGCAATGAAGACAGGAGACAACGCTGATCTACACAGGGCCCTCAGCTTCAGTTTTTCTTCTTGTTTTGTGACAGTGCTTCTACCTCCAGGTACTGCAGCCCAATCAACATCCCCATAATAGAGAAACCTGTGATGGAGATACAGGATGAGTTGCGTAGAAAATGATGGACAGGAGATGAGGCATTCCCTCCCACCATCCCATCCCTGCCCTTAGCTCATAGCCCCATGGAGAGGTTTTTTATTTGGGGGGAGTCATACGTCTAAGGAGAGTTTGTGGGGAGAAGACGCAGAGGTCTACTTACTTGCTACCATGAGGGGTGCCATAACTCCAATTGTCAAGGCTGCAGTGTGGTAAATGAAGACCTCGGAGAGGAAGTGAACAAGGGCCAAAAAGAAGGTAAAGAGCGTGATGTGATAGAGGCTGTTGGAGAGCAGAAAGAAGCAGGTTATCATACAGCCCATAGTATGGGCACGAGCATGGCTGAGTGGAAGTGGCAAACCTGCACACTGGCCCGTCTATCCTCACTGCGTGGCAGCACAGAGGGCACTTGGTCTCTTGCCTACTGAGGTGCAAAAGTTCCCTGGGTGACAGCTGAGAGGAGAACGGGGCATTATCTGGCCTGAAGGCAGGTGAAGAGGGGACAGCAAGGGTAAGGCATCAGTGAAGTGAGAAGCACGTGCGCACACAAAAAGAGGGCGAGAACGGGATGAGCCAAGAACTAGGGCGACAGGACTGGGCTGACTCCAGGCTGCATCACCCAGCACATGCTCCCACCTGTGCTCTGCTACCCTCTAGGGGCCACAGCTCTGGAAAGGGAGCAGGTCCAAGAGGTGCCAGGTAAAAAAGCCTTCTAAGAAACAATTGGCTTCATGGTAATTGGCATTGCCACCACCCCTTAAAAACAGATAATTGAGTCCCTGCACCTCCCTACCACTGACAAGCCTAGGCAATCCTAGGACATGCTGCCAGGTGAACAGTGACTTCTGCTGTGGGGCTGGGGGAGACAGTGACAGAAAAGTGAGACCTCCAACACAGCATTTGTCTAACACAGACCCAGAGTCACCCTGCTTGGAAATCCCTCTCAGAAATACTTGTTACCACAGGGAGAAATGGCCTGCCTCCCACCACAGCATCAGGCTGCACCTCAGGCCTTGTCCTCAGCCCCAGACAGGAGTGTGTGGAAAAAGGCAGCAGGTTAAGACCACTGCAAGGGGCCTCTCAACCTGCCACAGTCTTTAGGTGAGCTGTCATAGGAAAAGAAGTACTGAGCATTGGCCAGACCACAGGCTTAGCAATTGCTTAATGTCAACAGAGCAGCAACATCATCAGAAGACGTTTTCCAAGCTGGGGCTCAGAAATTTGTGACATAAGAAGTTCTCAGATCTACCAATATCTGCCTGAGCTAAGAAACAGAACTCAAATGAGCAGGATCTCCCCAGAGGCAGAAAGGAGCAGCAGTTAACACACAAATCCCACACCACTATTTAAGCTTTTTCAGGGGAACGCTTTCAATCCTATAGAAAGTTCAGGAACAGCTTTGGATTCCCCACCTCCTCCATGCTGCCCACTAAGCTAGCTGCTCAGGTTGTGCCTAGCAAGCAAACCAAAGGATTTCTCCGGTGCTCCTTTACATACGTCCTATTGCGGATGTCGATGGCGCAGAGGCAGCGGATCACTGATGACAGCAGGGTCCAGACGCCAAAGGTCCGAGCCTGGAGCCCGTTCACTGCGCAAAGAAGGGGGGAGCACATGGAGACCCCGCACAGCCC